CGGAATGTTTCATCCTTGGAATTGAAAAATTGTTGTGTTCCGCTATACCTAAGTTATTTTACACTGCCTAATGTATTACAAGAAACATTAGCATAAACAAAGACTTCCAGCATAATATTAGAATGTTATTATCTTTCTTCACATGTCTATAATTTGCAGCATCTCTATCACAGAAGGCAGACAGTTGGGGACCACTATCTGGGCTTTGCCAAATATTGTTCTTCCAAGAAGCAACTGGGAAACAATAGCAGCAGCTTTTGTTGACGACTTCCTTCCTGATGACTAAATATCAAGCTGTCGTCATCTCTCCCTGGCAACATGTGGGAATTTTATCACATCTTAGCACAGCAGCAATTCCCCCTCCCTCATCAACGTGTGGATTGATGGACACTGGACTCTGGCCTGAGATTCGTCTGACCTATTTTGCCTTGGGATCCTTACAGCAGGTTGGACGAAGGAGAATGTTTATTCAGTCCGTAACCAGGTCCCAGAGGTGAAAGGAGAATATTCAAAACAATAGCATGACTTGCTTGTGCTTAAACACCTCGAATTCAAAATGGGGAACAAAGGTTCGATTCTACATCTCTCTCTGCCAAAGGAATGTAAGCTCTCCAATAAAGTCTTTCACACTCACTCACGTTCTGTGGCATGTTTCAGTAAGAATGTAGAGATGTCCTGGGATATCCCCATTAAATTTCCTCTACCACTGGTGAAATTGGTAGGACATTTCTTTGAAGCACTGATATAATATACACACGATCTACAATGAAGCATTTATTAAAGGTCTTATTTACCAAACAGGATATAAATATTACAATTAACAGTGGAAGCTCAGTAGGCTAGGAAGCTGGACTTCTACCCAGTAGTTTATTCTGGTGTCATGGGCAACAATCCTCCAGAGAAACAAAAATGGTCATTCACTTCATGGCTGTTTGTGGGATATTGCTGTGTGCAAATTGGCTATTTGTATTTGACTATAAATACACCGTAATTATACTTCACAGTGAAATCCTATCAAGCACTACCAAGACATTGATGGCAGGAAACATGCAAAGATTATTATTATTACCCCATTTAATGGGATGAGCCACATCTTTCTGTAATCTGAAAGAATACCTAAACTAAAACACACTCATCAAATTCAGCCCAGTTGATGAAAGACCCCAATATAAACCCGGCCAGAGTTCCAAATCAATTCTCATCATTTTAGAAGGCAACAAGAATGGTTGGAGTTGCAAAGGCTGCTGGAAATGGAATGGCACTAATGAATATTGCTGGTGCAAATTAGAGGAAGTCTTATATATGCCTTGCCTATATTCAGAGGGTGGACAAAGTGAGAATGAAATGTTCCATTACCTGGCAGGGCTATCCTTTCAGTGCCGTTCAGTGCCGAATAGAAATAGTTCCCAAAATACAAATCACAGGCTGAGCTGCTGTTTTTCTTTCACAACATTTCCTATGTCCATATTTTAGACTCTGAATCCAAAATAATTTCACCAAAATTAAAAGTTTTTAATGGATGCAAACATTAAAAAATGTGCAATGGTGGGAGCTTGCTATAGACTAATTTTTTTTAATAGCTTGAGATTTACAGTCCACTGAGGCCTATAAAAGTGGCTGCTCCCACTTTTACAACATCATTAGCAATCCCAGAAGTCAAAACACTGGCAGTAAGCCAGCAGCCCAAAGTCACCATTGCACTGTCCATCCATATCCAGCATCAGGCATCTATTGAACATTCAAATGGAACACACCGGCAGCAAAGGAATTAATGCTAATAATGATAATCTTTGCATTTGATATAGCGCCTTATCATGTTTTCGAGACGTTGCAAAGCGCTTCACAGAATATACTGTAAAGCGAATTGACTGTATTTTGTGAGCGAAATACGGGCACTGCAGTATCCCACAAACAGTTGTGGATTGAGTGATCAAATTATTATTATTTTTCTTAAGGGAATATTACCCCGGAAAAGCGATCCGCCAATCGACTAACAACCAAGTTCCTACCTACTGCTAGGTAAACAGAGGCGTGTGGAGTCAGGAAACTTGTCGAACATTTCAACCTGCTGGGAATAAAACCGAGGTCCTCTTGCTTGCAAGGCGAGTGCTCTAACCACTAAACTACAGAATTAGAGATTGGCAGACACCTTACTGTTGGATTATATTAAAATAAGCAATTTAGGTTGCAGAATACGTACAACTCCAACAAAGGATTTATTTCTCTTGATCTTTAAGAGTTTCAATGTCTCAGCTTCGCTCAGTTGGCAATAGCTTTGCCTCAGGGTTAGAACCAAAGAATCATAAGACATTTATATAGCATTACAGGAGGCCATTTGGCCCATCGTGGCTGTGTTAGCTCCCTTGAGAGCAATCCTTTCAGTCCATTCTGTAGCTGACTCTTATTAAGCTATTTGTTTAGTTCCCTGTTGAAGGCCAATATGGATACCGTCCCAATCACCACTTGCAGCAGGGCTTCCCATAACCTAACTATTCTGTACGTGAAAACGTTCTCCTAATCTTCCCCAAACCACTCAATCCCCAGTATCATCCTAGTAAATCTCCTCTGCACTCCCTCCATTAGCTTAACATCTTTCCTAAATTTGGGTGACGAATACTGGATTCTAACTGCGGGCTAACTGACAATTTACATACGTTTGGCATTACCTCTTTGCTTTTGTACCCTATACCCCTATTTATAAAACCTAAGATTACGAAGGAGATTGTTCAAGACACGTGTTGGGTACCGACACAATCTAGTATCTCATCGAAATGGCCATTGTGTGTAAACTTAGATGGGAATATCTACAGGGTGAATAAAAAGTTAAAGATACCATTACAACGTCTTAATAAGTCTTAAAGATTTTTTTGTAGATAATAGGGTAGATATCACAACTTTTTGGTGACCCCGTATAACACTGGTGGCCAAACTGTGGCCCACAGGGCTATCAAGAAGCACTTCCCCACCCACGAACATTCGCACTAGTCTAGGTAAGTCCGTGTTGGATCAGTTGTGTGTTTTCAGTTTTTTCTTGATTGAATATTTCTTGACTTATGGCATATAGCCAATCAAGAAAAAGTATTTTGTCGTTGGCCACTCCTAGTCTATAAGTTGTTCAGCAGAGGGAGAGATCAGAGCAACCTCACTGAACAGCAATTATAAGCAGTGGCCATTAGGGCATCTGTAGCACTGTCAGACTGATTGAGCTGAACTTACTCAACACAGACCAGGGATCAAATCTAGGAGCTGCCTGTATTGCTTTACCAGCACCACACCATAAAACACATTTATCCACTGAACTATACAGAGAGCCAGATGTTATCATTTTAAGATTTGTGAAACATGCTGTTAATGCACATATAAAAATTAAAATGCAGGATATCTTTAATTACAACATTTTTATGCTTGCCAGGCAACCATTAACATTTTGTTGCATAGGTTTTCAACCATCAACAAAAAAATTGGCTAACATCAGTACTCAGTATAATGCCAAATTCATCCAGTAAAATGCAGCCATATTTATTATTTAGTTTTATATTGGCAAGTACACACAGGGTGGTGGAGCCCTAAACGCTGATTTATTTATTTATTTTTTAGTTGGTCAGTTAGCCTTTGTAAACTATTAAAAAGAGACCTGCCCCCACCAATAAGCTGTCTTCATTTTGTTTACCACCCAGACAAACCACTGACTTCACAAGTCACTGGAAATGATGGCTCCACTGACTCCTTATCACCAAACGGACGGATTTCAAGACCCTCACTTGTTTTCAAATCCCTTCATGCCCTGGCATCTCCCTACCTCTCCGAATTGCTTACTTCCCAACCCACAAACCACTGCCTCCGCACGACTGGCTCCAGCCTTCTGCTTGTCCCTCATCCCCTCCGTTCCACCTTGGTGGCCATGCTTTCAGCCACTAAGCCATGAAACACTGAAACACTCTTTCTCTATCCCTCCGCCTTGCCCCTTCCTTCCCCATCTTTAGGTCGTGCCAGAAACTCGACTTCCCTAAAGCTATTAGTTCTACAGGGTGACCAAAAAGTCATGATACCATTACAATGTCTAATAAGTCTTAAATAAATGATGCTTTTCTTTTAGATAATAGGGTAGCTAAACAATGTTTTGGTCACCCTGTACTATTTGCATTTCAGTAAGTTTAGTTGTGTTGCTGTTCACTACATTTTGCTTATTGCTTGTGAGACATGCAAGATTATTTCACTTCAAAATTTAAGAATTCACAGAATTTCTTAAAACCTGTCTTAATTAGGAAGCCAATCTTCTTAAAAACTGCAGAAAACTGGCATACGATTAAATATTAATTCAAGAATTATCCACAATTCTGTGCAATCTGAGAAATGTCTAGCCTCAAGTATCCAGACACAACAACAAATTACATTTGTACAACGCCTTTCATGTTGGGAGGACTGGACTACCAATACCGCCATAGGTCATTTCCGACATTCCATTGCCAAACATGTCACCTTGGGGCCAGTTCAGCTCCAAGGAGACCCCGCTTACCTCGCCCCCTAAGGAGGGATCCTTTTTTTTTGCATCTGTCTCAATGGATGTCTCAAGCCCAACAGCTGCAGTAATGCACACAAAGACCAGAGCAAGTGGCTGAATTTACTTTGGATACACATGCAAATGGATTTTCCTCTGTAAATGGTCTACGTTGTATTCTGAACTCAATTACTAAACAGCTATTAACTCTCCCACCCAAGTTGACTCAACAGCAACAACAAAATTACATTTGTATGACAACTTTCACATCAGGAGAACTCAAAAGAGGTAGATGAACACAGTTTGAGGCAAATATTGATATGAAGATGTCTCAAGCCACATATGGAATTAAGAACAAATGAATGGCATCTTGGAACTTTGCATGGAACAATTCCCTGATTTTTTGTGACATTGGGCCATCCTTCTAACAAGTTTTCCACAGCACTACGATCAAAAAGAATCATAAACTTAGTGACAAACATTAAAACCAAGAGCTACTTACAGGTAAGCTGGAAGGTCGCTCCTGTTGTAAAAGGCTCATGTCTTCATGGTTGGGTTTGCTAGGTGTCAATGGTGGTGCAGTGCGGGCTCCATAACCTTCCTGAGACATATCCTGTGTAAACAAGACCCATATTTTTAAATAAGGCTACTCTGTCTACCTGCAACTGTTTATCAGTTACATGGGCATTAGGGCAAAGGCTAGCAATGTAATGAGATAACCAGCAGAGGGAAACAATTCAACTAGAGGGTGACAAAAGCAGACAAGTGATTATCTTCTATTGCCAGACACCGTTTCCCCTGGCACAATGATCTCCCACTGTGTGCGCCAGCAGGTCGCAGGGGATTAACAGCAATGTTTAAAACCAACAAACGTCTGAGGCTTCTTTTCAGATCCCCCACCCCGCTACAATGGGACACAAAGCTACAGACAGCTTTACAATGGGCAAACAAATGAGCAATGAGCAAGCACAGACTTTGCATCCCATTTCTTTTTTATATACACCACGGCTGACAGTTACAGATGTAAGATGTAAATGTAGAAGGTACACACAAACAGAAACTTAGCTAAATCCTTGTGCTTTTCTCCACTTTTCAAAAAGTGTTTATATATAAAGTAAAAATACAGACAGAAATAATAATCCTTACACTTGATATAGCACCTTATCATGTCTTCGACTTAACCGAGAAGGTCATTGTCTTAAAATAGTGTAGAATTGTAGAAAATTCAGAAATTTAGTCTTAAATTTTAAGTTGATTTTCTGGAGATCTTAAAAAGAGTTTGCAAATTAAGTTCTGAATTTAAGAATTTGTCACAGTTCTACACACACACTTAAATTTTAGGGCAAAATTATTTTATATAGTAAGACTATGACTAGGTGAAATTTTCAGCCTCAAATATAGTCAAAATATTTGATGGAAATTGAACAACATCAAAGTACACATGGGAAAGACTCAGTTAGTACATATGGAAACATTGGGAATTGAAGTATATAATCTAAGCTGACACTCCAGTACAAGTGCTACTCCAGGGAGCACTGCATTGTTGGAGACGCCATCCTTCGGCTAAGACGTTAAACTGAGGTCTCGTCTGTGCCTGTTCAGGTGGATGTTAAAAGATCCTATGGCACTATTGGAAAAGAGAACAAAGTTTCTTCCAGGGTACTAGCCAACATTCCTCCGAAAAAAAGTGGTCATTCACCTCATGGCTGTCGGTGGGACACTGTTGTTGTGTGCAAATTGGCTCCTGCATTCATCGATCAATATACAGTTACTACACTTTACAGTAAATACTGTGACGTGCTTTGAGATGTCCTTCTGATGTGACAGACGCTATACCAAATGTAAGCAGTATTATTATTCACACCTGCTCCACTTGTGGAAGACTTATATCAGGTTTAATCTGTGAGTCAGCTTTATTTCCATGTTTGCTCTTTTTCCTACTTTATTTTCCTGGTCTCATTTTGTTGCTTTCTATATTCCTCAGTCTCGATTGTCCCATGCCTTCACGTAAACCGTTTTCTTTTGTTTTCATTCTAAATTACTAGACCAACGTTCCTTCACACCAGAAATACAACTTTGACTTTCAGGGATAAATACCTGTTCTGCTATGAAAATAATTACTTCTTTGAAATAGATCCCACTTTTTGGCAATTGATTTAACAACGAACAATTTCAAGTTAATTCCTTCCTCGTCCCTTCAAAGTTGAAGTTGCTTAAGACCAAAAGCTTGGATCCTCCTTTCTCCTCTTCAAGCCAGATATTAAATTCAATTACATGCTGGCCACTGCTCCCAAGATGTTCACTTAGCAAAAGAATGGTAGCTCTTTCTGGCTCATTACTCAGACCTAAGCCTGTTCCCCTTCTTGTCTATAAAACAAGCTGTTGAGAACTATCCTGTACACATTCAAGAAAAACACCGTCTTCAAAGAAGACGTTAAACCGAGGTCCCACCTGTGCCAGTTCAGTTGGATGTTAACAATTCGATAACAACCATTGCAGGAGGGAATTTCTCCAGTGTCCCAGCCAATGGTTCTTCAGATAAAAAATAGACCAGTCATTCACTTCATGGCTGTTTGTAGGAAATTATTCTGCTCAAATTGAGTATTAGAGGGTCAAAGAAAAGAGCAGGGAATTGGGATTAGGATGGATGGCTTCTTGAATAAGCAAATACTAATGCAAAAAATGAGCCAAATGACCTCCTACTGGGTTATACATTTCGATGGTTCTCCAGATAATAATAAATAATAACAATGATCCTGCATTTGATACAATGACGTTCATGTCAGGAGGAGGTGTCAGAGCACCTCAAAGGAGGACATACGTACTGTAAAGTGCAGTGACTGTGTAATTTAGAGGCAAACACAGCATCAAGCAGAGTGTTTGAGTACTTGAGGCGGGTATTGGATATAATAATAATAATAATCCTTGCATTTGATATAGCGCTTTTCACGTCGGGAGGACGTCCCAAAGCGCTTCACAGAATATACTGTAAAGTGAGTTGACTGTATATTTGTGGGCGAACGCGGCAGCCAATTGCACACAGCAATGTCCCACAAACAGTCATAGATTGAAAATGACCAATTTAATTATTGTTTTTTTTTTGTTTTTTGGAGGGATTATTATTAGGCTCTGTGTGGAGTAAGGAAACTTGCCCAAGGTTTCGCCCTCTGCCTGGAATTGAACTCAGGTCTCTCACTTGCAAAGCGAGTGCTCTAACCACTGAGCTACAGGACTCCACAGTCCCGCGGGGGTGCTTTTAGTCTTACTCTCAGTTGCAGGCCCTGCCATCAATCAACTTCCTTGGTTCTGCAAGAACAAGGCAACTCTTACATTCCCTTGCATTTTAGGTGTCACTTTGCCTATTTTTGATTGGTCCTGTTCTCCTCCATTTGTAGACTGATACAAATGAGGTGACTCACCATGTCGTAATTTCAGCCCTCACTCCACAGTTGGAGCAAGAATAGAAAAGACTTTTTGTGTCATTAGCAATTCACTTCACAAACAGCTAAAATAATGAAGAAATTTACAAAACAACTTGCATTAATATAGCGGCATAAGCACGGAGTAGCATGACGGAGAATTGACAGTGGTGGAGTCTGACACCGAGCCAGGGGGAGAGGGACATGACTGTCAGCACGATCAAAAAGGAAGGTCTTTAGGAGGGAGGGGTCAAGGTGGAGGGATTGAGGGAGAGAGTTCCTGAATTTCGTGCATAGTGGCTGAAGGCTCGGCCACCGATGGTGGAGCGGAGGGGACGAGGGACAAACAGGAGGCCAGAGCCCGCCGAGCGGAGGCAGCGAGTGGTGGAGTGGGGGTTAAGCAGGTTGGAGAGGTGCGTGGGTGGGTGAGGGGAGGGCATGAAGGGATTTGAAAACGAGTGAGAGGATCTTAAAATCGATCTGTTCAGGAACTGGGAGCTGGTGTGAAGGGAGTGACTTCTAGCTGACTTTCCACCCCACACACACACACACTCTAAAGCTATTTTCCCTTCAGTTTGCTGCCTCCCTATCCTGAAGATCAACTCATGATGGCAGAATTTCACAGGCAGGAGAGGCCTCTAACATCTCCTCTAAATTGCTCTTCTTCATACAAACTCTACAGGCTGCTGTGCAATCTGGACTGTTGTGTAGATTCCTTCAAAACTAAGCTTTTGATTTTTTTTGAAAGCATCAAAATTGTATTGTTTTACAGTCGGTAGCACCACAGTTAAAAACGAGCCCAGCATTTAGCACACTATACAAAATGTCCACCACAATCCACAAAATGGCAGACGTGATGTGCCTGGACTAAGGAGATGCTACCACATCAGACTTGTATTACAGGCTTACAACAGGATAACTAAAATGGACCATCTCTTAAATGCTCAATTGCTGCTTGGAGTAAAACTGTGTGCAGGAATTGATGGCTCAAAGTTACTGCTTGTTTCATAAGCCATTCTGGATTTTTTTTAATACTTCCACATGACTTTCGCCCACAAAATGCAGTCAATTCACTTTACAGTATATTGTGTAAAGTGTTTTGAGATGCCTCAAAGACGTGATTTGACTATATCAAATGGAAGGATAATTATTATTATCAAAGATATGATAAAGCAGCTTGTTCATAAGTTTAAAAAGAAGGCTTTTGAATTTGGGGAAGCGTGTCTTTTTTAAAAAAGAAACATTCTCAGAATTTACAAAAATTGTCTTCCAATTGATTTCCACCGACACTGCTGATCGCTAGCTCCGGGACTACTTAAAATACTGCATTCAGTAATAATCCTTCCCTTCGCCTTTGATAAAGCACCTTTACACGTTGTTGAGACGTCTCAAAGCGCTTCACAGAAATCACTGTAAAGTGAATTTCCACTATATTTTGTGCAAGAAACATGGCAGCCAATTGCACACAGCAGTTTCCCACAAACAGTCATGAATTCATAGAATTATACAGCACAGAAGGAAGCCATTTGGCCCATCGTGTCTGTGCCGGCTCTTTGAAAAGAGCTTCCAAATCAATCCCACTTCCCACGCTCTCCCCATAGCCCTGCAAACTTGTCCTCCCCAAATAATCATCTACTTCTCTCTTAAAAGTTGTTAACGAATCGGCTTCCACCACTGTTTCAGACAATGCATTCCAGATCCGAACAACTCGCTGTGTGAAAATATTTCTCCTCACCTCCCCTGTTTCTTTTAGATCGGTATCCTCGGGTCACCAACCCATCCTTCAGTGGATTGAGTGACCCAATTGCTTCATTTTTGAAGGGATTATTACCCCCGGAAAAGTGATCTGCCAATCGACTAACAAACGGGTTCCTACTTACTGCTAGGTTAAGTCAGTTACTGCTAGGTAAGTCAGTTACTGCTAGGTACGTCAGAAGTTAGCAGGCAAAATTAAAAACTATACAGGAGGGGATGTAAGAGGTTAAACATGTTCATGGTTGAATGACCAACCTCAAAGCCCCTCAAGGAAAGGAGCCAACTGTGCACCCCTCCTGTGGCTTGAACAACTGTATTTTGGATTGGCTCAACTGGGAATGATTCAGTTCATTATAACCACTGACAATTACCGGTAGTTGGTGTACACCCAGCAAACAAGAAACAGACCTTACTTTCAACCAATCTTTGTCACAAACCG